AAATACCAAATCTTACATAGTGCTTAGTTGCTTTAAGTCCCTGCTTTAAGTCGTTGCTTTAAGTCTTCAGTTGTGTTGACATGGACTCACCTAAAGGTGCCCCGCTCTACATCCTGCCCACTGAGTCGCACATGGATGCCATCTTTGAGAAGGGAACCAAAAGCCATGTACTCTCCTAGAGCCCAGTCCATTTGCCGATTCTTCACCAGCTCAGCTCGACCACGAAGGATACGAGACACACCTGGAGAACACACACACACACAACAGACAGAGGAACAAACATGAAACCAAGTGATATGTTAGAAGAGCACTGAGAAAAAATGTAAAATGCAATGGACTGATGTACTGTATAGTAAATAACATAAAAACCCTATTAATTGCTATAACGTGAGCCAAATTAGGGGTGCTGTTAGGAAAGGATGTGTTTGCAGATTAACTTCCTTAAGTCTTTGTGACACTGAGGTTTATGTGTTTTATGGATCTTTATCACTTAGCAGCATGTATTCCATATTCCACTCTTCATCATTTTGTAGATTTCTAGTACAACTTATCAGTATTACTATGACTGTTGGTCTGTCTCTCTGCTCTGTTCTCCAGCACAAGGCAACTAAACTCACCAGGGTGGATCTTAAAATCTTCCAGAGGCACTGAGCTGGCTGTCTGGCCAATGTGCTGCAGAACCTCCTCATCCAGTCCTGTGGGGACACAGCTCATGCTCTTGGGTTCTCCCTCTGCTGTGAAGAAATCTACAGAGAGAGAGAATGCTTCACTCCAGCAGGAACAGAAACTATTTAAAGAAAAAGCAGTCAATCAAATAAAAACTTGAGTTACTGAATTGCAAATGGGCAATTTACCTGGCCAGGGGGAGTCGAGCCAGTGTCGAATATGTAAAATCTTTTCATCCTTGGAGCTGGTGTATGCCTCCTCACATATCTTGTCATATTTGGCAACTTCTTCCTGTGACCAACATTTGGCAATGAGTGATATGGACAAAGAGAAATCTCACATATTAACTGATGCACAGTTTGTCTGCTTTGAAGGACTACAGCTGACTAACCAAAACGGTGTGTACCTGAGACACAGAGACAGAGAGAAATATTAGAAGAGGAGAAAAGTCTCCACCAGCAGTAATGGTTCTGCCTTGCTATATTACAAATGGGGCTTTTGCAGTTGAGTCCAAATAGCAGGCCACACAATCGAAAACAATGTCCATCAAAAGCCAGGAACTAGCACACCAGAGAGGAGCTGCAGTATTTCTCTGACATGTGGTATAAAAAAATGTTCAGAATGGATGTTACAATCAAAGTTTCTGTTTTGGATGAAGAACCTAAGCAATTCCATTGAATGGTGCCAGAATCTGAGGTATGCTTCAACTTCACTGAGCAATATATACTCTATGTGAGGGATTGTGAGGCTAGGTGATTGAACTGAGGCAGTAAATTGAACTCAAATACAGCAGTGCTGGCACAACATATTTACTTGAAGGCTAGGGTAATATCTAAGTGTGATTTAATGCCCACAGTCCGGCGGATGGTGATACAAAGTAAAATAGCATACAGTAGCAGCTACCACTAACACTATACAGTATATTTAACAAGAACAAACAGCATTAGATCATAAACCTCAAATTCCTGCAGTGTCACCACACCCTCAGCAATGAGCTTGTCAGAGTATTTTTTCAGCACATGCTCCTGCCGACGGATCTGTTTGTACATCAGAGGCTGGGTGAACATGGGCTCGTCCATCTCATTGTGGCCAAACCGTCTGTAACAAACCTGTAAATACACACACACAGAAGACACGTCTAAGTGTGGACTTGGGTTTTCCTGATAATCCATTAAGACTTGACTCGGACTAACCAGGTCAATGACGACATCCTTGTTGAAGGTGGTCCTCCACTCTGCAGCCACCCGGCACACATACATGACAGCCTCAGGGTCATCGGCATTCACATGGAAGATGGGTGCATTGACAACCCGAGCCACATCAGTGGGGTAGGGGGAGGAGCGGGCCACTCGAGGGTCTGTAGTGAAGCCAATCTGAGAGGCAACAATCACACGCCAAAGTTGACACAACTTAGAGCCTAGAATCACACAGAAAATGTGCTCCACTGTTTATTTATGGAAAACACAATATCAAAACATCAAAAATAATGAATTTCAAAAATACAATCCCACCAACAGTTGACAGATGATAGTAAAATATTGTCTAGCCCCACTAATTATTATTAATAGCAGAAGAAGTAATAATAATAGTATTAGTGTGAGCAAATTCTAAGATATAAACATTCTGGTAAATGTGTCGGGTCACTTGTTACAGTGACAACAAATTCTCCTTACCTGGTTGTTGACCACCACGTGGATTGTCCCATGTGTGGTGTAGGAGGGCAGCTCACTTAGGTGGAAAGTCTCATACACAATACCTTGTCCAGCAAATGCAGCGTCACCATGCATCAAGATGGACATCACCTGGAAAAGTTACACAAGGTTTCCGAATCTACATTTACAACACCAAACATCAAAGAAGCCACCATGTACATGGTACAGTAACTGTTTTTTGATTTTTTTAATATTTGTGATAAGCTGACAGATTGAGTGTTCCTTTATGAGCTGAGAAAATTCTTTTACTTCTTAAGATAAATAATACATTTAAAATCCCTCTTGGATTAGCTGGAAAATGCACTCACAGGTCATTTTTGAATCCACGACTTTTACTTTCTTTGATTGGAGTATCAACACAGAGTGGTATTGCTACTTTTACTTAAGTAAAGGATGTGAATATTTCGTCCACCACTGATACCGACACTGGTACCTTCTTTCCCTGAGTGTCGCCTCTGTAGAACTGCTCAGCTTTGGCCTTGCCCTGAACCACTGGATCCACTGCCTCCAGGTGGGACGGGTTTGCCATGAGTGACAGTGTGATGTTCTTGTCCGTTTCACGGTTAATCCTCTCATGGTACATCCCAAGGTGGTATTTGACATCACCCGAACCCTAAAGGTATAGAAAAGGATATGAAATAAAGCTTCATCTCCAAAATTCTGTTTTTTTCCCCGATGTCATCCGTCAGCTGTTCCCTCACCTCATCAGCAGCCTCTAACTTGGGGTCAAACTGACAGAAGATCTGATCCAAGTCTTTACGGATGACATTGGCCAAGACATTCAGTCGACCTCTGGAAGAAGAGTTAGAAAGTCTACATCAAATATGGAAAGACAAGAATGAGCTGTATGCATAGATTGAACCGAGAGAGGAGAAAATGTGGAATGCACAGTACCGATGGGGCATCCCCATGATCACACTGTCGATGCCTGCAGCGCTCGACTTGTCGATGATGGTTTTAAGGGCAGGGATGAGCACTTCACAGCCTTCCAGACCAAAACGTTTCTCTGATGACCACTTTCTGGCCAGGAAGTCCTCAAATCTGGACATAAAAAAGGTTATAATATGTAACCTGTTCCACTAAGCTTTGCACAATTGATGTGGAACAATACTTTGGAATAATACAACAATGGTTTAGAGAACATATACTGTACATGCAAATTTATCTCAGTGCCAATGTGTGATTATAGCTGAGATCATTTTTCAAAGATGAAAATGAGCTCACATGAAGAATAGGGTGTTTATCTTTGCAAATATATGCATGTGCAGGAGTTTTGTTTATGTTATGCAAGTCTCTGATGTGAGCTATAACTAAAAGTGATGTACTGTGCTGTCATTAAAGTGTATGTCACTAGATGCTTATTCATTCACTGACCGTGTGGATCTGATCAGGCGGGCTAACAAAGTTCTCTTCTCAGCATTAGTGAACTGCATGATTCCTGGAGTCTCAATTTTCTGACGAATCCACTGACACTGGTCCACATTGTTAATGAACATAAATTCAACCCCTATGTGACTGCAGTAGGATGTCTGAAAAAAACAAAACAAATAGCATGGTACAGTGTTATTGCCCCCCACCCCCCATCATTAGAAATATGTATGGACACAAATACACAAACAAAATACCTCTAGTCTGCGTATGATTTCTCTAAGAGGAAGAGTGGTGTCTCCTCCTCCGATGAAGGTGGTGGGGGGCAGTTGAAAGCTCCTGTCCAAGTCAGACTCATCAAGACCGTAGAAACCTACAATGACATTGTATAATAACAGCATGTTTTCTTTTTTACTTTCAATACTATAACATACCCTTCTGGCCCTGAGCACATATTCCATGTCTTATCAAAAATATTCTCCCTCTCAAAATATAATTAAAGTTGCAGAGGTGGGAAGCTGTCTTAGCATGTTTCTAATGCAATTCAACAGGGCTTAAGAAAGAAAAAAGAAAACACCCAGAACAAATCCTTTTCAGCACAATAACATTCATAACACAAAGACTACCTTCATCCAAATTTAATTAATGACCTGAAATTTTAATATATTTTGATTGTCGAGGTCTTAAGTTCTTCCATCATGTGAAGGCAGCAGAAGTCAGGGTTAGGGTTAGGGTTAGGGTTTTAAGGGCACCTTAAAATTTGAACATTTTGACAATTGGCTTTAGTCATTTATCAAGTATAAATGGTCAACAATCATTAGTTCCTTCTTCTCAAGAGTGAGGATTTAGTGACTTGATTTTCACTTCACGTAGATAATTAAAATATTTTTCACCTGCCACTCTAACTGAGACTGAAGTTCTATTGAAATTCATCACTTTTTTGGGTTAGACTTTTGTAGTTTTTTAATGAATAGGACAGTAGCCCTCCCTGCGAAGTTAGAGCATAACACTGCGGTGAATTAACTTAGATTTTGACCCAAGTAAAAAGACAGGGAAAATAAAGCATTCTTGTGAAATAAAAACAATTATTCAGGAGCCATTTGTAGACAGTACAATAGTAGGACCTGTGGAGATACAGCATTAGTATTGGCAGCCCCACATAAGTTTCTGGGCTGACAAAGCCCACCTGAGAGAGCTGGTCAAGCTCAAGATCACAGGCAACATAAGAGGAGACAGGTGCAAATCATATTAGGAACACAGCAAAGACAAAGGGGGCCAAGAATAGCCTCTTGTACTATCGGCTGACCAAATAAGGGTCATTAGCTTTCATTAGGGAGCTATAGCCCTGGTGACAATACATAATGCAAAGCTATGTCCTGACACACACTGATCACTGATAACAACCAACAGAAACAATGTCTCTCTCTCTCTCTCTTCTCTTTACTAGCTATTACTGTAGACTTCGATCGCTTGCTGTGGCCGCCCGGCATTTACCAATCCTCTGTCCGCTAAATAAAATAGAGAATGACAAGAGTTGGGCCTGAGATTAATGACAGCATTAGGCTGACCAACCCGGACTAGGCAGAAAACGCGATGGGGTCTTTTATGAAATACCACTTAGATTCTTGGGTCTCATGAGTTATGCAACCCTGGACCAGAGTATTGTGTAGAGTGTACAGTACATACATGTGTAATAGATACACACACAGATACAACCCTCAAAGGGATACAGATGTGTTGTTGAAATACACTGCAGGTAATATACAAATCAGATATGTTCATTGGAATTCAAGGAGAATGAACCCTTGAAGTAAATGAGAATAATATGCTTATGACTGAAACACACGACAAGTATTCTGAGGAAAGTAGAAGGAAGGACATCTATAGTAGGAATCTAATCAGCATATATACTATACTGCCTGTGGGTTAACTCCATATGCATTTAGTTAAGAAATTAGGAAAAGGAGGAGTATCTCTTCTGTAGAAAGTCTAAACCAGAAAATGTATAATTACTGTAGATCTGCATTTAGATGATAAGCTATCAGTCTATAGCAGTCTATAATATTTTCAGTTTAGATTTTTGGTCGGTGTGCTTGGGATGACTGCAGAGGTCGTGAGGCTCACCCAACTTATCGATGCTGGTGATCAGGTCAGAGGGAACGAAGGAGTCCAGGTCAGCCTCCAGGATTCCCAGAGGATCTAACTGGGCAACATGGTGACCACGAATCTACACAGAGAGACAGACAGAGATGTGAGGGAGGCAGGAGGAAAGAAGAGATGAGGAGAATCAGGTAAAAACAGAGAAAGTGACAGATGAGAGAGAATAAGATTCAGCAAGGGGCTGCCATCATGATGCTGAGTACGTACAGCTGGAGAATAAGCTAAAACTCAGTTATAGGTCAACCTTTCTGAGAAAAGAGCCCCATGGGAGTGCTTTTATGTCTATGTACACACATCTGCACACACACATTCCCACCAGGATTGCAACAAGCTGGGAATAAAAGTGACGCCTTTGCCAAAAGACAGAATTTAATAAATCCCTCGGATAGTTCCTCGAATTAATTCGAGGGCGAGAGGAAATGTTACCACCTGTTTTGTTTAAGTAGTCTCTTTGATATTTCCATTTTCAAAAAGCAGCCAGGGTAAGTAGGTTAGAGCTAATCTTGTAATTTGCATAACCTCTCGCAGTGACAAACAAATTGTATATTCCTTTTAATACAAGGACGCACAGTATAAACAGCTTTCATTGCCAGTTGCATCTGTTTTGGCAAGTCAAGTGTATTTTTTTATGCATTTTTGACACACACACATTGGAGAAACAAATAGTCAGCCAGCGGTTTCTCGTAGTAGATGACATCTTAATTCTGTACACAGAGAGTGCATTACGATTTAATTGGATGCCCACGAGATATGTGATCAATCTTCTAATTTGTAAATAACATAAATCCACATCATACAAGATGGTAGCTGATGTGTGTATGTGTGTGTCTCACAGCTGGGCTGGATGAGTGGGTACCTGGTAGGCTCTAATGAGAGTGTGCACAGCCAGGTGGTCCTCCACCACTTTCTGCGCCATGTCTGGTGAGTGGGACAGCACTCGGCCCTGGAGCAGAGCGGAGGGGCGTCTCTCACCCGCCTCGCCAGACGGACTGGAGGCCTGGATGTTACGGAAGAATGCGTCCCAAGTCTAGAACACAGAGAAAGACAGATCCAGCAGAGGCAAGCAGGTCCATCGCAAATATGGACCCAAAGTATCCCCACTGTTATAACTGGCTGCTAGGTTGGGAGATGACAGGGCAGTGTAAGTGGAAATTGCAGCTAGAGCATATTTGTACATGCCCCAGGCGACTGAGCTACCATCACACCATAGTGCACATTTATGAAGTGCCCTCTGGCCAGGGATTTGCTGAACTGCATTTCAAGATAAAAACTGGCAACAGCAGTTCATTGTAATTTTGCTACTAAACCAACTGTGTTTCAAGCTGTGCTGGACATTGTTTCCATTCATGAGCAAAAAATGTCCTGTTAATGTTATTCCCTAATGTGGAAAGAAATGGCACATGTGGCACACAGTTACCTCGTGGACATTTTTAGGATCCTCCAGCCAGGCAAAGTACATCTCCTCCACATAGCTGGAGCTACTGACCACCGCTGAGGGAACAGGCGCAGCCCCGGAGGAGCAGGCTCTCCTGGGATCAACCCAGCGCCGTGCCGGGCCTCCTCCACACCCTCGCAGCCACTGACTCCCCCCGGCACGCCCACTCCTCAGCACACCCGCTAACGCCCGAAACTGACTCATGGCTGCAGGGAGGCAGAGTGAAAGAGAAAGTTGGCTGTTAGAGAGAGATAAGAAATAGCCATTTTGGATGCAGGTTTTAGAAAATGCACAGAAATTAAAAAAGTGTGCATGACTGGATTGTGCGTCAGTTTCATTACAAACATCTGAATGATGTTTCTCTGTATGTCAGAGTGTCAGCTGCTACAGGCTCGTTACGGATGAAACGACATCTACAAGCGTATATTATCGATTTCAGCTCATCGAAGCGGCGCGTCATGTAACGTAAAACCTCTGCGAGAGCAAACGCGGCCACGTAACGGCCCTGTGCGTCTGTTTCTGCGCAAAGTCTCTGCAGCTGCAAAAGGCGCAGTAACCGCAATCAGCCCGAGTATGAGGGTCCACTGCTGCAGTGTTTATCCGCTGCTACAAACTTCCTCACCTCCTTATCCCCTGCAGGATGCTTTACAGGATCCTTCAGCGCCGACATCAATACCAAAACATTGCCTATTCGCTTCTGGGTCTGTTACGCTTTCCCTGGACCTCTAATCCCTCAACGTCAACATAAATCCTCATAATCTCCCCTCGGCTCTGCCACTGGGAACAGCGCGGTATCACGGGAAACAGGGCAGTGGTTCAAAGTGTCACCTACGCTTTTTTTGTAGAAATGACGGTTTACCTTAAACTGCACCGATTGTCATCGCCGATGGGTGCGAGTAGGACAGGTATCAGTGAAGGTGACACAGATCCGAGCGCGTACACGCACACTCACACACGGCTTGGCACGCCCCCTACCCTCCTGCGTGTCAGGTGGTGCATCCGAGGTCGCCTGCTGCACCCAAAGGTGCCAGTGGTGCCAAGGTAACGGGCAAACACACCCGCTCAGGGAGGCAGGGAAATAAAAACAATCCTCTAATTTAATTATATTTTCAGTTATTTAAGTTGTTCTAAAATAATACAAATAAAAAATGATCAGAAATCAAGTTTGTTTATAACAGCAATTCATGAACTGAATACTTACTTTAATGCTGTCAGCTCAAATCTATGCACCCCTCCACCTCCAGACAGGCCATTTTTTGTTACGTCACACATGTGTCTTTACCCTCAGTGTTAATTACATGAGCCAATTAAGCTTTTATAAAAGCTGAACATAAGTCATTTGAGCAAGTGGTTTCAGATTGATGGGCTTCTACCTTGAGTGGGCTAAACAATAAAATTATTGGCCCTCCCTCCCTCCCTCCAGCCTCTTTCTTCCCCTCCCCTCCCTTTCATCAGTCATACTTGCTGGCACAGAAGAAACAGCAGTATCAATCATGACAAACACGCCACTGTAAAGAGGGGAAAACAAGGAGTGGGCACGGGTTGCAAGAGGATCCACCAGACAGATCAGTGTAGGTCTCAATATCAAAACATCATTATAAAGGATGTTGTGTCTTTACTGGTCATTTTCTATAAACTTCTTTCTATAAATCAGTATGTAGTGCAGTCCCTCCCTTCAACACCACCAAAATGTCTAATTTATCCATTAAAATATTTACTCACATGATCCTCAGCTTTTTCTGCATACCCATCAATAAAAGCAAAGCTTTAACTCCCAAAAAACACACAACACTCAGCCTGAAAGGGAGTTCCTCCTTTTTCATTATTTGCATTTGTGTTTGCTGCTGCTCTCCCGCTGACCTGGAGAACGCAGGGTCAGGCAATTATGAAATGAAATGCCATTTTGTTGTAGTGACTTTGCCGCCTGACAAAGATGGAGTGAAGACCAGTTGCTTTCTGGCGTTTTATTAATAGTGTTCATCGATGAAAAGACCTGTGCCGCTGGGTAACATTACGGGCTTGGTGTTAAATTACATCCTGTTTAGAATAATTCCATCACAAGACAGGACAAAAGTGGAGCAGCTGTTCAGTGTTTGAAACATTTCTTGTGTACGGGGAAATAAAAACAAGTCACAATTGTCTAACCTCCGGTAAATGAAGTGTAAAACAGTCAAAATATTTTATCAATGACTGTGGTTATTAATTTTTAGGACTTGCCTGGAACATTCAGTCAATGTCCAAATCAATCTTTGATTCAATCCAGGAGGCACCAGTAACCTAAATAAAGTTCATGTCCAGGTGACTGAAGCTCGCAGCTGCCAACAGTTAGGTCTGCCAAACCAAATTGACTTTGCACACGAGTCCACAGCTCATCTGGTCAATGCCGGGCTCAGTACAAAGAGCAGGAGAAGCAGATAATGTGTAATCCACTTACCATAGCCAAGCCTACACACCATTTATGGAAGTCCACGTCATGAGTTATTTAGGAACCTTAATTCATCTAATAAAGCATGTTTGGAGGCAGAATCAAATTTGTCTGAAAGCCTTTGGTACACGTGCTATCAGAAAAATCAATCACATTTTCTATGATTAAATAATGTATGATTTCATGAAATTAAGTGATCTGTGGTGCCAAGGCATAGTTACAAATATGCGTATAAAAAAAACAGTATGATGAAGGAAAGAGTCTGAAATACAATCTGTTATTTCTAGATAATCTATAAGTAATTACAATACCCCAACGTGAAGAAATAACATACTGCGATGATTGCAGAAAGGCTTTTTTTGGGTTAACATTAAAACGTGTGAGCTTTCATTGTAATGTACCGATCCTTTGGTCATTAGGCAGTAAACCGTACTGATTTGAGCAGAGGAATATCATTTTAACAGGATATACTTTAATTAAGAAATTATAATATAAAGAGTACAACCAAAAAAATCTAAAGTACAATACTACGCAATACATTTACAGTATTTAATCTATCTATGAAACCATTATTAAATAGAACCCACATTGTCAATCAGAAAATACAGTAAATAATAAAAACATAACCACATCCCCAAAGTAAATGTTGAGTAAAAACATTAACAAAAATAATATTTTGCGTGCAATTCTTTCTTTATCTGCTTCCCCCTTTATTTATATACAGTAGTAATACTGTGCTTAACTGAATATATTTGAAATGATTAAATTACTCAGAACAGAATCAGTGGTCTGAGATGAACATTACCATAAATTTCTTCTATCTATTTCATCTGAGATGACTCTCATACCAGTGATCATTTTTATTGATAAGTTTTGACTCATATTAAAATAAGGACAATGTGTGTGTGTTGAGCATCGACATCCTAGAGGATATAAAAGAGCAGCATATATTTGTAGAATATTTGATAAATACATGTTACCCATGCATAGACTACAGTATGGCATCTCATTATCTCTCTGCATTCAGGAACCTCACCACAGCCTGGGTATAGTAAATAGAGAAGACAACTCATTCAAAAAAAGTAGCTAACACAATATAGGACATTTAAAGTCGAAGCATTATCATGTCCTGGATTATCAATAACAAAATGTGTTAACAACCATGCATATGATGAATATTTGGCCATATTGTAATTAGAAAGTAAAAACAGAAGAATTCCACATCACATTTAGACTAAAGAAAGGCCTAACAGCAACCAGGATTTACTATTGCTATAAGTCTCTGAAAACTTCTCACCACATTTGGTGACATCCTACAAGGCTCCTATAATACCACCAACAAGAAAGGCAAAACTGTGTTTTGGTAGTTTGTGTGTTGGGATCACAAACTTAAAGGGAGTGTGTGTTTGTGAGAGAAAAAGTGATTGTAAGCACATGGCTGAGAGAACACTGAGGTTTCAGAACCTGGAGTCTCTTTTACTTTAAGTTGCAGCTCTCCCCGAGTTAATGAGAGTCCAGTGTTGAGAAGGAAATCCCAGAATCCTTGGAAGCGTGGATGTCGGTGGTTGGGTGTGAAGAGACTTTCTTGTAGATGAAACTGTAGAGACTGACGTCAGGTCGAGTCGTGCGGCAGTTCTTACACACCAAACTGGAGTACTGGTTCAAAAGGTTGTACAGCCTCCCTGAGAGGGTAAAGGAGAGCGGTGAGGAGAAGAGGAAGAGATACAGAGGGAGGGGATGGTGCAAGGGTCAAGGGAAGGATGAAATATAGAGGGAGATAAAACATGATTTGAGACAAATAGATAAAAAGGACAAACGGGTTCAGAGTGAAAGAACAAGCAAGAGAGACAGAAACTAAAAAAACAAAATAAAATAAAGAAAAACGAAGAAAAATGAAAGCGCATTCGGGCTCATTTATAAATGACGCGCACATACACGCGCACACAAGCCGTGAGCCTTTTTTCGGTAGCTCCACTTTAGGAAATGGATGGCTAGAGGGGAATTTCTCTGAAAGGCTTCAATAAATGTCAGCAGAAGAAAAATGAAAAGAGGGGGGAAGGGAGAGACTGGGGTCAGTTCAGGCAGTAATCCACTCTGCAGCTGAGGCTGAATAGATGGGCTGAGGAACAGGGATGGCCCATAAGGTGGAATAACTTAACGTACAGATGGACTACATTCTGTTATTTATGCGTACTGTCCCTGTAATGACGCCAACAAGGACAACCTCCATGTGCTGTACAAGCCTCAGGAGCCCCACAATCCCACCAGTTACTGATATCATCACCATTCCTGCTCATTATGTAATTTACTGTAAGAGCTCAATGGAGGCAGGGCTGAAAAGATAATAACTGTGTGAATGTGCCGTGGACTGGAAGTCTAACAAATATACTAAACATGTTTAGTTTGGTGTGAGTCTTACCGACAGTGACTTCTCTCTCTGTGAGGAAAGTGTGTATTTCATGAACATCTCTCATAAGCTCAGCATCTCCGAATGTGAAGTACGCCACGTCTCTCCCAGCCTCCGCTGCAGCCATCAACTGAATCAGCGCTGAAAAAAAGAAGTAGAACGCTAAAGGGAAATTCAGACAGCGATAATATACCGTTTTAGCATCATTAGTATCCTTCAGTTTCAGAGGGAAGTCATAAATGTGTAATTGACCACTGAAAATAAGCTGAGGAAACTAAGTAATTGGTCACTAAGCTGGATAAGGTATGGCTTCAGGCAGAAAAAAAACACAAGTGACAGGGGCAATTTGTATCAGAAGAGTAAATAACCACCACTGGTAGCATAGCCTCATCAACAGCACTCAATCTTTTAGCCCTTGCAAATGAGGTCTTAAGACTTTTAAATATTTAACAGAATGGATATTGATTCCAGATTAATAAACACAGAAAACCAAAAGGTTTGTAATCTTACAACAACATAACAGCTCAGTCTCATGTTAACTACCACATCCCCAGTCAGCTGCGGGACAATAATGTAAAATACAGTTATTGCCTTCTAAAAATACCAGCTATGCTAATTCCAGGGCTAATGGGCGGGGATCCCCGGAAGCTAATGTCATCCTCTGGGACTCCAGTCAAATCCAGTGGATATATTCGTAGCATGCTACAGAGGAAATTAACAGCTTCACTTTCAAATGAAACTGTACAAACACATACCCATGTTACTCCAATATTATTCGCATTTATTGCACAACATTTATGTGGAGATGTGGGTTTTACCACAGCACAGCCTCCAAGAATCTAGGCGTAACGCAGAAGAACATAAACATTGTTGATAAAGTACATTGACCGGGAACGCAACTGGTCAAAATTTGCAGTGTGGACAGTAAGGGGCTCCTGCTTATAAAGAGTGATGTTGTGTGAGCCTGCTGAGACCTGTGTCAGTGTGGATTTATGGTGTCCCTTCCCTTTAATCAATTGCCCTTTTAATGGAAAACATAAATGTGAGTCAGCTAATCAATAAAGGGAGTGAAGCAGCAGGTAAATGACACCCTGGGAGAGCTACTAATTGACCAGAGGGGTTTGAGA